GTGTATGCTCTTTCCGCGTTACTGGAGAGTGATCGACGCCATACGATTTGTCAGCTGGCCCGAGAGACAGGATTAGCGCATACAACTGTGCTTCACATTCTGAAGGAACGCCTGGGAATGAGAAAAATTGCATCATGATGGGTTCCGCATGATTTGACAGAAATGCAGAACTGACAAGCTGTGGCTGATCTGTTCGATCGATGGGGCTGGGAAGTGCTGTACCATCCACCATACGCCCCGGACTTAAGCCCTTGTGACTTCGACTTGAATCCTAAGATGAAGGAACCACTTCCTGGCATTCACATCAGAACTGTTCCAGAGATTCTTCAGGCAGTAGACCGCTCCACTCAAACTATCAACATAACAGGTGCTGCTAAAGGTATCCTACGACTTCCACATCGCTGGCAACGGGTTGTATACAATGCTGGTGAATACATTGAAGGACAGTAAAACTTTGAAACATGTATCTATTTTGTATCAGTTGTAAATAGTTGCCACTATTAAAGTTCCAACACTCGTATGTACCATTTTCAAACCAAATGCTCCTCTTGCAAAGGTTGTTGAGGATATAGTGAAGCTTGGTAAAGGCCTTACCAAGCAAGATCATATTATTACAGTGGGAGGGCCAGGAAACAGCCTGGATAGAAACTATCATTATTCAATTGAAAATGACCTCAACTATATTGCAGAGAGGACATCAAGCACCAATGTGGGATCTGTCAGCCTCTTTGAGAGGCATGACAACCCATGGATGAATGGGAGGGTTAGGAGCATGAATCTAAGGCTTGATAGGGCCCTGATGGGTCATGACATGCCTCACATTGGTGTCACTGACACATCATCAATTGCGAGGGAAGATTACACAATGTATGGACTGCACCTGAGCTCTCGAGGCAAGAAGAGGTTCACGCAAATTATTGCTGAGATTGTTGTTGGTGATCATGCATCAGGTATATGAGTAAGCAGTATTCCTATTATAACCAATGCTAGGGTGTCTCCTTTTTTAGATTAAATTCAAAAGCACCAAGATGCCTAACATACTGTGATGTATTTGCGCTATGCAATTAACAATCTGAACGGCGTCTTCAGTGGCAAAAACACGTTACACCGGCCTCGGTGGACATGAAACCTGAGGTGGCAGAACAACGAGAAGCACCCGTACAAGACGCTCCAGTGATACCTGTCAGTGAACCTGAAGAATTGATGCCAAATACCCAAATAGAGACAATGGCCTGCCCAGAAAAGATAGAGACATGTCTAGAAGAAGAAAAGCCGGCCTCAGTAGACATGAAACCTGCAGCGGCAAAACAAAAAGAGGTCCCCACAGTGATACCGGTCGTAGAACCTGAAGAAAAAACAATGGATACCAGACAAGAGATGATGGCCTGCCAAGAGATGGAGGCACGTCTAGAAGAAAAAGAGCCGACCTCAGTGGACAGGAAACCTGAGGTGGCCCAACAACGAGAAGTCCCCAACGAAGATGCCGTAGTGAAACAGGTCAAAGGACGGAAGAAGTGGCATAGGAGCAAGAAGCAAGCCGTAGGGCCAATGAAAATATCTTTATAGATAATGCAAGGTTAAGCTCTTCTTGTATATCTCCTAACAGTCAATGGCCTCTCTGACAATGATGCTCAATTTCTTGCAGTAAATAATATTATTGCAGAAGTAAATTCAACACCCTTGAAACAGAGAACCAGAAAAATAAATAGTGAAACCACTGCTCAATTTCAACATTTATTAGAAAATGAAACATGGGAACCTGTTTTCAAAAATAAGGATACAAATTACAAGTTTAACTCTTCATTACATATTTTTCTAAATATCTTCGAAGCCAGTTTTCCTATGGAGAATAAGAGTGTAAGTAGAATAAAAAACCACTGGATAACACAAGGAATAAAAATATCTTGTAAACATAAAAGGCATCTGTATGTAGACAGCAGGAGCAGCAATAAAACCCTATATGAGAGCATACAGAGTTATAAATGAGGCTAAAAGGCAGCATTACTGTAGGCTTATAGCAAAATCGAATAATCACATAAAAACAACCTGGAATATAATAAAACATGAAACATGAAAATGACATCTGACTGAACAGATACCATCTCTCCTTATAAATGATGAACAAGTTCAGAACTCAGGATAAATTGCAGATGCCTTCAATACTTTTTTTCTAACAATTACAGCAAATCTAAACTTGCATCATGAAGTGAGAGATTTCATTTTTAAGAGAGGCATTTCCTAGAAAATTCCCAGGTATTAAAACCATTCGAACCACTGAAACTGAAATAGAAAGTACAATACATTCCCTCATAGCAAAAAACTCTTCAGGTTATGATGGAATAACAAGCAAAATTTTAAAAGTTTGTGTGCATCTCTAATCAGTAGCCCATTAACTCAAATCTGTAATCACTCACTATCCACAGGAATCTTTCCTGATCTTCTTAAGATTTCAGTAGTAAGACCACTATATGAAAAAGGGGACAAGACTAGTATGTCAAACTACATGCCTGTTTCACTGCTCACGACTTTCTCTAAAGTACATGAAAAAGTTATGCACAATAGGTTAAGCCATTATCTTCAGAGTAACAATATACTAGTCCCAAAATAGTTTGGCTACAGGAAAGGAATTTCCATTGCAAATGCAGCCTTTAAGTTAACAGACAGTGTGTTGAAATCTATTAATAAAAAAATGCATGTTGGTGGAATAGTCTGTGACTTGGCAAAGGCTTTTGACTGTGTAAATCATGAAATTTTATTAACTAAATTACATTTTTTTGGCATTCAATGAACAACGTTAAGTTGAAAAAGCTAAATAGTTCCGTTCAGTGGGTCTTATTAATATTTTCTTATTTCAAGTCAGACTGAATGGAACTGTTTAGCTTTTTCATAATATTAGCGTAACGGACCAGAATGAAAAAAATAAAAAACATTAAGCTGGTTCAGATCCTACCTAACAGATAGAAAACAAAAGATTGAAATAAAATCATCAAATTCAATCCAAGGTACCTACTCAAATTGGGGAATAATAAAACATGGAGTTCCACAGGGGTCAATTTTGGGGCCTTTGCTCTTCATACTTTATATAAACAACCTCCCTCCTACACTAAGGACCTCATCAGTACCTATAATATTTGCAGATGACACTAATGTTATAATTTCTGGTAAAAATTTAGATGATTTCTGCATGTTATCAAGCAAGGTTCTTTCACAAATGTGTAAATGGTTCTCTGCATACAAGCTGTCCCTGAACCTAAAAAAACAAATGTAATAAAATTTATAACAAAAAGCTCACCACAATATCCATTAAACATAGGATATAATGATAAATATATAGAAGAGGGAGTAAATTCCTTGGCTTGAAAATTAATAATAATTTTAATTGGAAAAACCATATCGATCAGTTTATTCCAAAGCTAAGTAGAGCATGTTATGCAGTTAGATTCATGTTACATATCAGTAACATTGACACTCTCAAATCAATCTATTTTGCTTACTTTCACTCTTTAATGAAGTATGGAATAATTTTCTGGGGTAATTCATCTGACAGTAAAAAGGTATATACATTGCAAAAGAAAATTGTTAGAATCATGATGGGTGTCAAATCCCATAATTCCTGTAGAGATCTATTTAAGAGACTACAGATCTTAACTTTTCCTTGTGAATATATATATTGTCGCGTATTGGGCGTATAACGTGACAAA